CTAAAAAATATATAATATAATAATATACTAACATAATAACAATTTATAAAATCAAATTAAAAAACACAGATTAGTGAAATGTTGACTCTTCTTCTATGTGGATTACAATTTGATTTTATTTTAACTTACAATCAGCTGCAGTGAAGTTAGGAAGTGTATCATAACTCCTTTCAGCTTGTACTAATCTCTCAATAACAGAAATATAATAATTAAATGGAGTGATCCTCAGCCCTTTTACAATCATGTCTGCCAAGTGATAAGGGAATAGCATAAGCTTTTCCCTACTTTTTGCAACAAGCCTCTCATAGTAATGCTTTTCATCCTTAAGGACATGGCGTACTACAAAAAGTAATAAATACATGTACCTTTTATGAATACATTTTGTAGGTGCTTACTTTAACAACAGTAGAATGTAATAATTAAATACTGATAAGCACTGTAATAATAAACGACTGAACGACGAATAGTATTACATGTTTACTTATGATAACACAACAAATGCTATAAGAAAGATACAAATTGGAATGTATTTAAGTACATACCCAAATTTCCTCTGTACCTTAATTGATTCTTAATACTAAAATCGACTATAAGTTTCTCATACTGAGAAGATTTTCTTAATCGTACAGTAAGTTCACGTTTAGAACATCCCAAGTCTGGGACCCCAATGTTTACAAAAGTCAAATAACCACAATTGCTTTTCAAGTCAAGAAAATTTGAAAGATTCTTGACGGCCGGATGATTTTGCCACTTTAAATGGGTGCTTATTGCTTCGCCTGGAAAGTAAATCTGTATAAAAACCGAACATACTTATTGTGAGTAATTTTAATTTTAAATATTGACACATACCTTGACCTTTGGTAGGAGTGTCTGGCCTAAACGGAAACGGTACGATATGTGTTTTCGCAGGTTGATGGACGCCGTAGGCTTGTAATAGCACCGGAGAATATTGTAATGCAGCGTTTACATGAGAAAAATTCGCCAGAGGTAATACGGCAGGTTCGTGAAGCCATGTACAAACAAGGAAATTTGTAAAACCCAAGAACATTTTTGGCAGTGCTTTTAATATTGTACCTAGAAAAGAAAAAAAAAATAAATAAAAATTTAGTAGGCACTTGCTAAAAATCATTTTTAAAAGAACATGAACGTGTCATATAAACCTTTTGTTAACAATAGAGAAGGCGGTCCATAGCCAGTCATATGATAAATGAAAAATTTAAACCAAATAGAATTTATCTCTGGAACGGCTGGTCCTAAGTGAGGAGGGGATAAACTATAAATTGGACGAACCTCTTTACTTAAGGGAGCCATTGAAACCAACAATCTACAGGAATATTACATTAAAGAAAATAATTGTGTGATTACAACGAAATATTTACTTGTATTTCTTTTGTATTAACCGATTCTTAACTGTTTCGTCCAAGGAATGCAAACTTTCTAATCTAATAAGGTCCAGTCCGGTACTGGGCAGTTTACGAAGGGCCAGAACAGTCGATCGTAATATAATGGCATGCACAAAGTAACGTCGAGCCTCTCCTTCTCCTTCTGCATCTAATACTGATACTTTTTCTAATTCAGCAAGGAAACTATCCAGACTTTCATCACACAATTTTCCCACTTCGAACATTGTCACTGCGTGCTTTTTTAAGCCCTAATGAAAATAAAATAATCTTAAAATATAAAGGTTTTCATGAAAAATTTAATAGTAATTTTTTGCTTACAGGTGACAAGTTACCCATCATAAGGAGCGCGTTTAANAAAAGACAACAACTTCCACTCCGTTGTCTTCAGCAAATTTAAACCTTTTCGTTCACAAGCTGTTTTCCAAATGTTTTTCTTTTAATTTTAAAGACAATGAATTGCAATTGATTATGTCCCATTTTATGTTTCAAATTGATCTTATGCATAATTTCTGTGTAAAATAATACTTTAGTTCCTTTTCATTACGGGATAATCGAAATACCTAACTTCTAATAAATCATTAAACTAAAAAAAAAACTATTCCATTATTTACTTTCTCAATGGAAAAAAATTAGTAAATTTAATAATCATGTACCCTGCCATGAAATCTAAATGGGACCATTAGAATTACTTTGCCGATTCTTCATGTTTTTTTTGTACTTTGAAACGATTCTTTGTCATTTCTTTATGACTGATAATGAAAGACCATTAGGTTCAATTTAAAACAATATTTAACTAGACAAATAAATAAAATTTATCTGTTAAAGATCAACATAATACGTTTCAACTTTTTCTTGTTTAAAATTTCTATCTTTATTGCTTTATTTAATTAATTAACAGTGCTTTTAATTTACTTTCTTCTTTAACTTTAATGGAATATGTTGAATTTTGAATATATCTATATGAAAATAACTTGTTAAAAAACAAAAGCAGAATTTACTTATTTGTAAAGAAAAGGACCAGATAAAAACGTGACTTTTTGCATTCAAAATTAAGAAGAGATTTCATTAAATAGAAGAAACTAGTAAGAGAAAGAGATAAAAATATGTGGGAAAAACAATAATAAACTCGCCTTTATACAGTTTCCCGTTTTCCTGTCTCTTATTTCTGATTCGTTCCCAATCAGTCACAAACAAGAAGTATGTATTTACAACAACACTACATCGCCAGCGACTAGAGCAAGTCGTGAAGGCGTTTTTCAGTTAACCAGCCAGAAGAGGATGGGTGGGAAGCAACGGTAAGATGGTGGTGGTGATGGTGCCCGACTCTTCATTTGGTTGGCGTCAATTCAACTACGGCTACCAACCTAAGCATTGTATGTAATTAGTAGAACAACATGAACAGGTACTTTCACTACAATTTTCTTCCCTATTTTTGCCCACTTTATTTTCCCTTCACCACTCACACACTTCTGTCCTTCACTCTACATATGCCACTGCTGCTCCCTTCACCCTCGTGTTTGCGGTTTGGTTGTCATTCGGCTGATGTTGGATAAAGCGATGAAGGCATATGGGTGGATGTAATCGGCATATGTTGTTCGGTCACTAGCTGATCGCCTGTCGCCCCTGTTATTACTCCTCCTGTTGCAGATTCATCGTCGTTGTTGGTGGCACCTCTTCCTCTTCCGGCTCCGCTGCTTTCTTCGTCATCCGTTTCGGTCTTTGGTTTGTCTTGCAAACTACGGCGTAACTCGGCAACTGCCGCCCTGCCAGTGTAGAGACGCTTGATGCCGCGAGGCAATGCTCTGCACGACTGCAAGTTAATGGAATGAAGTTGGGGGCACTTTGTCAGCACCGCTTTCACCGGGTCAAGGCTTACAGACGAACCGCACAAGTTTAAGACCCTAATAAAAAGTAAACAAAGTAATGATTAGACATACATAATTAGCATTTTTTCAAATACAATTTATAAAAATGACTAAAAAATTGACGTAAAACCGTGACATCACATAAATGTGTACTATAAAACCAGAAATAATAAATTAATAAAATTAGGTACTGTTAGAATTCTACAGTAGAATCTCGAAAATAGAAAAGAATCTACTGTTTAGGGAAATTACCGGTGATTTTCAGCTTCGGTTTACCATAAGGGTAGTCCATAAAATATATCATTCAGAATCTCATCTTCTTGGACCCCACCCCCCTTTTGTCACGCTAAGCCACTTTCAGCGACTTCCTTTACAAATATTACGTCACCCCTTACATTAAAAAACAAAATACAATTTTTAAAGCTCGTCATAGCCACCCCTTTATAATGATACCTTACAAAGTCTATAATTTTTTACTGACTTCTTTGTCTGATCCTATAATTACAAATACATTTATGATAGCTAATTCCTGGAAAAATTGCAGGTCAATATTATCTATTCATTTATTTAATTAATTGTAAAACATAATTTTTATATACCTTAAGGGCGAATCGTCGCCCTTTTCGGCCAGGGCAAGAACAGCAGCGTCGAGTGATTCCGTTGCAGTCGACCAGGCCAGATCCACTTCTAACAAACTGTGGCTCCACTTTTGAAGAATTAATTCTAAACCAGAATTGGTCGTCCTTGTAACGTAACAAGCTGAAAAAAAAATGTATTGCAAATATTTCTGCCACTAAAGATTCTTGTACATTACGTTTTATAAAAACTTACCGCTTAAAAAGAGATGTTCCAGATCCCAAGCCGGCACTTTTACAAGACCAGAGTCAGTGAGTCGAATGCAACCCCGCACATCAAGCAATCGCAATTTGGTACTGTTCTTCAAGATCCTTTCGATGCCATCATTGTCTATAGTCCTGGCTGTGGCTTGCTGAGCTTCCAAACCAGCTAAAGATAACTCCTCCAGGTTGGGGAATCCCGGCGATGACATCTACAATTTAGACAGAAATGAAAAACAGTACAATTAGTTTATCCTTTTTATTATTTTTATTGCGTACCTGTTCTGGTATGCTTGCAGGAGCCAGCCATATTTCGCTATTGGTTATGCGCAACACGCGAAGCTTGGGGCAACCGTTCTGGAGCCGTTCGACTCGCAACAGGGCTGTATTATGTGAAAATGTCCGAATGTTCGATATGTCGAGCAGTTGAAGGTTAGAACAACATTCCTGGCAAAAAAGATGATTACCTAAATAAAAAATTGAAACTAATAAAAGTCTAACTTACCGATAAAGCGGTCATTATTAGTGTGAAACCTATAAGTTTGTTATGAGCGAGTACAAGATGGGTCAAACGATTGCCCATGGTCTGAGCGAGGTGGACCAACGGCTGGGAATTTAACGAAGATCCCTACAATAAAAGAAAAAAAAAAACATAAAATATTGAAACAAGAATTACTGGCATTTGAATCTTTAGATAAACTATTTAGAAAACCTTTTAAGAAATATATTAACAAACCGAAAGTAAAACAAGAAATTAATGTATAATACTGCCCAATTTTTGAAAAGTATTGGTATTAAAAACACCCTTACATCTTCTATATTGAGGAACCCGTATTTTTACAAAATGTGTGCGAATTATACTAAAGGTTGAATAATTTTCTACTAATAACTGCAATATCACCATTATTCTTATCCAGTAGTAAAAAATAAAAAAAATCTTACACTTATTGATGATAAATCAAGACGTTGCAATTTGGGAAATTCTGATGAAAGTAATTTAAAATGGTCAGCCATTAGACCTTTCCAACCACTCAAATTTAAACTAACAAGCTGGGGGCAATTTCTACTAAGGCTTAAAATGACATTCTGTACATCCCGAACTCTCCATTCACCTGAAACACAGTTTTAATACACAAGTTTAATACTACATGTTCGTAATTTTATACCCAAATTCAAGTCTTCACAATGAGACAAACGGTTTTGTATCAACCAGTGTAATTTGTGGTCAGTTCGGAATTTGTTCTTCACCCAGTTTAAATCAATGGTCTGCCACAAGGTAGGAATTAGGGCAACCCTCTGCCAGAGTCTACACACTTGACACAACCTTCAAAAAAAAGAAGTACAATACATAAAAGGAAATATGTTTAAACAAGTGGTTGTAGTCTACCTAACAAGGGCCGGCAAACAACCGTCGGAATGGCAAACATCTTTGAATATTCTTGTCAGCAATTCTTCGGGCATGTCTTTGCCCCATGTACTTTGCTCTAGAGGTTCTTGGGTACTCGTTACCAAGTCCGCTTCGATCTCTTGAGATAATCGACTTCTTTTGCGACTTGTTTCGTGATCAGAGGCATCCGTGTCGGATGTTGTCTTATGTTTTTTCCGCCGTCCACTTTTCTTCTTGCTGGGTAACTAATAAAGTATAAAAAACTGAATTTCTGTTAAGAAAATGGTTTGACAAGAGTTATTAATGAAATTAAAAAAAAAGGTTGCTAGAATAACAATTATTGTGCAAATATTAATCCCACTAGTCTGGAAAATAAAAGGGATGAAGGTGATTGTACTTTTTACGGGTTTGTTTTTTTTTTAAGGCATGAAACTTTAAAATTATTTAATAAAAAGGAAATATTTATAACGTACTTTAACGTGGGTGATTGCGTTGCTTTTCTTGATACGGATTTTGATGGTGTCTTTGTCGCCGCTTATCTGACTATGATACATGGTGACAAACGTTTTTCGGGGTCGGCCCCTCGCCGATGTGCTCCCCATCTTTACTTTTTTCCTTTCACCTGACGATCTGGTAACTTTGTTACGTTTCGATTTAACAGCAAACACTCCATTACTAACTTGTTTATCACCCAAAGAAGGGGGACCGTCTGAACAATTTGGAGGAAAACATAGTTCACTTTCTTGGTCATCTGACATGAATGGGACTTCTGAACCTATATAAGAAGAAACCCCCACATTTAACTGGGGATTTGCAGTATCTATTCAAAATAATAAATAAATAATTTTAGTTTCAATATTAAATTT